CTCTTCAGCTTTGAAACGGAGATGAGTACCACCCCCTAGAGTCGGGAATGAATAGCACATATGTGCGAGGGGAACCTTTACCTTTACCTTAAGTTGAGGACTACCTGTATTTGTTTAAAATCGTGATAACATATTGAACTGGGACCTCTCTTAGTAGGTAGCCTGGATGGTTCCGAGTTTGTTTTTCATTCTGATTGAAAGTAAAGCAAAGTTGACAGGCTGGATTGCCAGAGCTAAAATTAATAGGATTGTAACCAAGGCATCCAGTGTAACTTAGTGCTGCAGTTTAATTATACAACGTCCTTTTTTTTTTTTTTACCCTAAGGGAATTTTTACTTTCAGAAAAAAATCAATTTAGAATTTTAAAAGTAACCAGTCAAAGTGTTAAAATGCTTTTTGGGGTTTGGTTTTTTTTTTTTTAGTCTTTTTGTTTTGCTTTTGTTTTTGCTGGCAACGAACTTGGTTCAAAAATAAATTGAGTCATTTGTGAATCATTTGGTTGAGTCTTTGCTTGTCTTGTGCTGGGAAAATTACCGTATTTTTCAGAGTATAAGACGCACCCCCCCCCCGCAAAAAAGAGGCTGAAAATCTGGGTGCATCTTATTCACTGAATACAGCATTTTTTGCCTCCCCTTCACCCACCCCTTCACCAAAATGCCCATGCAGAGCCTTTAGGAGGCTTTCAGAGTACTCCTGGGGGTTGGGGAGGGCAGAAATGAGCGAAAAACAGACCGATTTTTGCCTCCCCAGCTCGCAGAAGCACTCAGCAAGACTCCTAAAGGCTATCCATGCCCTTTTTTTTGAAGAAAAACAGGCCCGTTTTTGTGAAAAACAGGCCGTTTTTGGCAGGTCTGCAGAGTGCAAAACTTTTTTTAAAAAAATTTGCCTCTTCAAAATCTTGGTGCGTCTTATATCCAAAAAAAATACGGTAAACGAGACGGTTGTGTTTTCGAAGGTCAATAAAGGATCATTTTTCTCCCAAGCGGAAACCATCTTTTTAAACCAAGATTTGGAAGATAAAAAGGAAGAAGAGGAGGAGGAAGAAGAAGATAAATTATATTGGCTGGAAGCCTGCTATAAAGCGTTAAAATATCACAGAAGAAATAGAGATGCACAGGTACTCTGAACGCTAAAAGCCTGGGACTGGGGCATTAAATATGACTTCAGTTTTGCCTGGGGAAAAAGCTGTTATTGCTAATTTTATTTGACGTCATTCTTAAAATATAAACTTCCTCCCAAATACCCACGAGTCACACTGGTGCTTGTGATTAGTGTATTTGGAAAGTAGAAGCGCTGGCCAAATAATTACTTTTTTATTCTGTCCATTTAGGAAGCGGCTTGCTGGGCTTTGAACAACTTGCTTATGTATCAGCCTACTCTTAATGAGAAGATTGGGGACGACGAAAAAAAGTTAGTGTAATCTTTTGCAATATCTTTGTCAGCTGTAAATCGTTTTTGTTTCCCTTTCCCATGTAGTAGAGACATTCACATTTTGTTGGGGCCCACCAGCGGCCAGTGGAGCTGGCAGCAGATTCGGACAGTGAGGAGGTTGGGGAGGAACCTGGGCCAGTCCTGGAGTCTGGGGAAGGCTCTGACGAGGGCTCTGTGTCGGAGGCAGAGAGGGGGCCAGAGCCGTCTGATAGTTATCAGCTGCCCTCAGAGTCAGACATTAGTGAGACAGACAAACAGCTGGAGCCTGTTCGCAGTGTGCACAAGCACAGAGTCTCCAGAGGAAGG